ATATATATATATATATATATATATATATATATATATATATATAATGTCTGTGTTTTAAACCCTCACCACACTCTTGCAATATTCTAAACACTGTTTCTAAACTCTAAAGTTCTCTAGAGCACAGCATGTCATGATCGCCGCTCTCTGCCACCTGCCAGCGCTCTTGGCCACGCCCACTTCTCCACTGCAGAGCGGAGATCATGACATGCTGCAGGAGGGAGCTTCTCCCTCCACATGGGCTACACATAGGTGCAGCAGGTGTTAAATAATTTAAAATGATTTATTTTAAATAAAAAATCCATGCCTATCGTGTGGCTCTTCAATCAAATCAATCAGCCAACTGTGTGTCATGTCCAATCTTACTTTGAAAAACCGCAAAAGAGCGAGTCCGCGAAAGTCGAACTGCGAAGTGGCGAGGGACTACTGTATTTTAAAAAAGCAATGTTTTGATGCAACTGAAAAACTGGAGGAACTTAAGACGTTTAACCTCCTACGACCTGAACTCTTGCTTATGTGGATGCCAGAACTTAGGAGGTTAAAGGTTTTATGTAAACATTTGGAAATAAAATAAAATACTGGGAAAAATATAAAAGTTATAAATACCAGCTCCCATTACCTGAATGAGCTGAATGTTTTGATGTATGAATATGCTAAATAGCACACAGAACCCCCCAAATAACAGAAAAACAATAGTATGACTGCTGAGTCAGTATTATCTTGTTGTAGCTCTTACAGGTCTGTCACCTGACGCCAGCAGTATGTGCAGAGGCGCAGAAACTGCTGTGGCTGTGAGAGGTTTAAAATCTGCTTAACTCTGCAGTCAGCACCTTTGAACATGCTTCCAGCTCTGGGCTGGGAACCTTGGAGCCAGCAGAGACGGCTCTGTGGCTGAAGCCCAAAGCACCCAACCTCCATCCATGGGTAATTACACAGCACGACCATCAGGCTAGCTTTTTCTGTTGGAGAGGGCAAAGCATGTGCTTCCTCCAGTGAGAGACACCAGGGTGTCGCTGAGCATAGGAGGTTTAAAATGGTTCATTTTCTCCAGAATATTAGGTCAGAATGAGCCGGTGAGTGGCTGAGCCCCAGTTACCACACACGAAACAGCAGCGGCAAAGCTAAAAATACATCTTCTCACCTATATGAGATCATTAAACAACCTGCAGGTTTAAATTATGTCATCTCCTAACAAAAAGTAGTGGATAATGTTTTTGCCTGTGTCCGAGTGTTCTGTTACAAAAATACTTCATGAAACACTGGACAAATCTAATGAAACTTGCAGAAAGTAATCACTGGATGGACATCTACAACCAATAATTTACCATATTTTTGGCCTATAAGTCACAGTTTTTTGCATAATTTGCATGCCCTGCAACTTATACACTGAAGCAACTTATTTATGTTTTTGTTTCCCATATTCATAAACCAATGTTTGGCTGAGATGTGACCGTTTTCATTCATTTTGACTGAAAATATCGAACAATAACATTTTCAGCCACTAGATGGCACTCGAGTAGTATGGCATGCCGTTGTGTCATGGAATAGGTAAAAGTGGCTATTAATGACACAATCGGCTTGCCATAGATTGACACCTTCGTCCAGCTCGCCTGGAGCAACCGTCAAATCAGCTTCATTTCTCTGCACCGCCCCGGCAAAATGCAACTAATTTGACCATTGAAGTGCATTTATTAAGTAAAAGTTCAACTGAGACACACCTTTGCTATAAAGTCGAGCAAACAAATAATTGTTTTAGGTCCTTATCTTGTTAAATTTTCAAGAAATGCGCAGCGTTTCCTCCCTTTGCACGCTCCCGGAGCACCGAGGCAACAAATTATTTTGAACTGCAGCTGATTTTACCATTAAAGTGCATTTACGAAGGAAAAATTAGACTGAGACACACCTTTGCTATAATTTTGAGCAAACAAATAATTGTTTAAAGGTGCTTATCTTGTTAAATTCTTGTCAAAGTCCTCTCCCGTGCATGCTCCTGCGTCCACCATTTGGCAGCCAATCGATTTTTGGCACACCGGCCCACATTTCCGGGTTGTCAGCGGTGATGCGTAATAGATGAAACCTATACGGCGAAGCCATTTATTTATGTTTTTCCCCACTTTATTAGACATATTTGGACTGATGCGAATTATACAACAGTGCGACATGTACGGCAGAAAATACGGTAATAATAATTTAACCTTTGTAGCCAGTTTTTAAAAAAATGCATGCCATTCCGACAAACGTTATCTTTAAAATTTTTGTCATTTGCCAACATTAAATGGTAATCTTAGACTAAAACTGCAACAAGGAAGAGAGATATCCATTTCTTGAAGGAATGCTTAGCCTTTAATTTGACCTAATGCTTTGGTTGTCTGCGGCGCTGGAATGTGAGGGAGAGACAAAATGAAGACGTCAGTATTCAGACTGTTCTCCCGTTTGAGAGCAGAGGCACCGCTCCACAGCAGAGAAGCCCAGAAAAAAGATTAGTGCTGAATGTGCACGAGGTTGGAAAGAACGAGCATACTGATCTTACTTTGGCCAATTTTATCCCCGTTATTAAAACTCTGGACATCTTAGCACCTACATATTAAACAACAACAATAAACACTATTGTGATATAATGTTCTTTTAATCCCAATCTTTTCTCTCTCTTTTATAATACCTTCCCCCTCACTGCTCTGACAAACCTTTTCATTCCTCCCTTCCCCTCAAAGCATGTTTACGCTCCCTGTCCTCTTTCCCTCGCAGCCCTTTGTCTGCGAGGACGGCTGATTGTTTTCACCTGCTCACAACTGTTCGGCACTGACTCGCTGCTGATGGCCTGTTCCATCGACAGCGGCCGCCGCTGTTGATGGAGATGTTGTGGGAGTAGGTGCATCATGCCGTCTCTTTCAGGCAGAAGCACGAGTAATCTTTCAAAGGCAGCAGAATTGCATTTGCGCACGTGACTCACTCTGGATGTTAAAACTGTAACAAATATACCAGAACAGTCTAGAAATTGGATTCATATCTGATAAATCCTGTCCGTAAATTGTGAGTCAGAGACGTAGCCACGTTTCGTCTGCAAATAAACGGAGAGGCTTCAGAATAAAATTTTTAAAATCATGATGTAAAAAAATTATATTTCAGGATGACAAATAATTAGATTAACTACAACATGCTGCTGAATTGTTGATGCTCTAAGCTGAACCCTGAAGCAAAAATTAATGATTAAAGAAGCAAATGCATGAGAAATAACTGAAGGGTTGGATTTTTATTTATTTATCATTTCCCATCAGCCGATTCTTTTAAATCATCATAAGAACAAAAACACAGAAGTGCTTGGTTCTAAAGTTACCGTAGGAGGTTTTTAAGGGTTTCTTAGCTGTAGCACTTACAACAACATCCAGGTGTTTTGTACCTGAACACCAAAGTTCACCAGAACGGATACCAATAGCAATATGTCAAGTAAGAGGGGGAGCGGTCGTTATGGTCAACGAGCGGATCACGGCTACTTGATCTGACGAGCCATCGGGTGAGATGAGGGTGTGACCTGTGCATGTGGGCCGTTAGTTGTCTAGACTGTTGTCTCCCTCGTACCCAGCCTAATAGGGGCCAACTTATTGGAGTAAACCTAGAGGGCCGGGGCGACCCACTTCCCCTTTTGACAGCGGGCTGAGGTGAGTCACTCACCAGGAGGAGGGCGGTTCACCGGGACGAACACGGAAGATGCATACCTGAGCGTTGTGCTTGAGTGAGCTTGGCGTGGACAACATCAGCTGACTCGATCAGGGTTTTGCTGGTTTGGATCATCTAAAGGTCAAAAAAGAAAACAAGTTACTCAAAGTCATACCATAGTTTTGTTAAAACCTTTCAGTGGACGTCCACACAGAACCTTTTGTAAGATTTAAGATCATTTATACTGTAGCTACTTTATTCACACCTTTAATACTGAGCAATCTCTTGTGAACTATTTGGAAGGGAGTGAATGAAGAACGTATATCAGAGGCTATAACTGAAACCATGTGGACACAGCAAAGAGCCCGAAAGTGGCAGAGACGTCTTTTCACTTTAAATCTGACCGAGACAATATTTGGTGTGGCGCACACACGTCACCCAATGAGCCGGTCAGGAGCAGTCGGACAAGAGCTGCTGCACAAAGGAGGATAATTAAGTTTCACTCTCCTGTGGGAGACAGAACGCCGACGGTCACCGAGTGCATGAGCATGTGCACACGAACATCTCTCTTCCAGTCCTCTTCTTCTGATGAGAACTGGTTTGAATGCAGTTTTATAAATCTCCAACCCTCAAACTTTGAGTGGAAATAAAACAAACTGCATCCGTGAAGAAAAGGATTTCAGAACCAGAACTTTATTTTGGTCTCAAAGGAAGCCGAAGCTAGAAACGTCTTTTTCTGTGAATGAGCAGTGTGAATGCTGCGTGGCTGCTAAAATGTGTTGAAGAACTTGAAAAAGAGTTGCTCAACTTAAAACCAGCAGACAAACAGCTAAAACAAGCACGATGTAGCTAAAAGATAAAGTTAGCAAAACTGAAGCAAAACGTTAAAGTTGGAAAAACAGGAATTAGGAGCTAAATGTAACAAAACTGTAACTAAAAGTTGAATGTCACAAACTTGTAGCTAAAATTAAATGTAGCAAACCATAGCTGATTACAATACTGCCCTAGCTAAAAGCTAAAATAAGCAAAACCATAACAAAATGCTAAAATTTGCAAAATAGCTAAAAGCAAAGATTTGCAAAACAGATTAACATGCAGCAAAACAGTTGCTAAGAGCTATTGTAAGTAAACTATAGGTAAAAGCTAAAGCTAGCTGAACAAGAGAAAAAAGCTCAAATTAGCAACATATCTAAAATTTACAAAAAATTCCAAACACTAGCTAAAATTTAATGTAGCAAAATCATATTAAAAAGCCAAATTTAGAAAAACTGTAGCTAAAATGTAGCAAAACTATAGCTACAAGTTAAAATTAGCAAAGCAGTAGCTAAAAGCTAATGCAAGTAAACTAAAGGTAAACACTAATAGAACAAGAGCACAAAGCTAAAATTAGCAACATATCTAAAATAAAAAGTAGCCAAACTCTAGCTAAAAGTTAAAAGCAATGAAATCATATTAAAAAACAAATTTAGCAAAACTGTAGCTACAAGCTAAAATGAACAAAACAGTAGCTAAAATCTAAACTTAACACAATAGAAAAAACTAGAAGCAGCAAAACAATTGTTTTTCTGTCTTCATATAGTTTAGCATTTAATAAACAATAAAAATCCTAAATTATGTCGACAAAATGTAAGGGGATCAATCAGCTTCTGTGTACATGCACACAACAACACGCCTGGATTATCTGGTCCATATCAAAAAGAATGCGTTGATGTCTTGTTCAGCAAATGGTCAGCACATTTGCTGGCAACTGCTCGCATGTGTGCTACTGAGAACGCAGACTTTGCTCTGATATTCTGCAGTAAATAGCCTGGTGTTGGCAGCCATGAAGTCAGCTTAACGTAATAAGCTACACCCACCCCCCCACCCACCCCACCCCGGCCCTCTGTTTTTAGGCAGACAGCAGGACAAACAGTCAGCTGCCATGACCCCAGCATCAACATGAAGCATCGAGAAAATACCATATGCTACCACAATACAAACAACTTCTGATTTATTTAATCTCTATGTTTCAGCTTAAAAAACACACATCTCTGTAGATTCTCATACAATATATAAAACTATTAAGTGCTGAGAAAGAAAATGAGAAAACAAGTCATAGGTTGTTGCAGGATGAAATAAAATACAGATTACATTTGTTTTCTTGTTTTTGCTTCATCCCCTGCCATTAAAAACTAACTGTGTGAACATTTATGAAGCGTTCACACTATTGAGCATGCATCAGGACGTTCACACTGTTGTGAGCCATTTTTCTTCTGCACATTTTGACACGATTATAATCCCGCAGTTTTCAAGTTATTTCATCAAATCATAAAATCAGAACGTTCGGCTCTTTCAGGACAATCCTGCAGTGAATTTTGGTATTGATGCAACTTTAGCTTTTTGAAATATTTAGCCTTTTATGCCATTTCCTTCTCAAAGAAAATGAATTGAGCTCATTTAACATCCTTTAAATCTTCAGATCTGTTCACAACCTTTTACTGCTCCTTTCACATTTTGTTCTGCTTCAATTTCTTTGTGCAAATTTAACAATGTTTCAGCTATTTTCTGCAAATTTCAGCTTTTTTTTTTTTTTTTAGCTGTTTTGTGACCCTTTCAGGTCCTTTCTGCTAACAACAACATTGTTGTGCTTCTTCTATCTTCTTTCTGCTAATTTCAGCTTGTTATGCTTCTTTCAATTTATTTATGCAATTTTCAGCTTTTTCAACTATTTCAGCTACTATTTAGCTGTTTTATACTAATTTAAGGCAATTTCAGCTAATTCCTCTTTTTATTTGCACTTATTTCAACTATTTTCAGTCTAATTCAGCAAAAATGTGCTCTCGCCACTGCCTTCTTGTAATTTCAGCTTCTTTCTGCCTTTTTAGCTACTTTGTACTTTCAGCTGTTTTTTTTTTGCCAATTACAGCTTTTTTCAAATAATTTCTTCTTTTTGTGTTCATTCCTGCTTCTTTCTGCTTATTTCAGCCTAATTGCCATATGTGTTTTTGCTGCTTTCATCTGTTAATTTAAGCATTTTCTGACATTTTAGATATTTTGTTTTGCTCATTTCAGCTGTTTTCAGATAAATTCAAGATTTTTGTGGTAATTTTTGCTAGTTTCAACCTAATTAACTTATTTCTGCTAATTTCAGCTTGTTATGCTCCTTTCAGCATTTTCAGCTAGTTTCAGCTTTTTCTGCCATTTCAGCTACTATTTATCTGTTTTATGCAAATTTTAGCTTTTTCAACTAATTACACATTTTATTAGCCGAATTCTGCTCTTTCCAGCTCCTTCTCGTAGGTTAAGCTTCTTTCTGCATTTACTGCTACTTTTTAGACAATTTTTTTTGTTGTTAATTTTTGCTTCTTTTTTTTTTTTTTAGCTGATTCTCATTTTTGTGTGTAGCAGTATATAAAACCTAATTAAAAATATATGTGTTCTTTCTGCTTTCTTCTGCTAATTTAGGCTTGTTCTTTCATTTCAGCTACATTCCAGCATACCTTCTTTAGCTAATTTCAGCTGTTTTTCAGTAAGTTCTTCTGCAGCAGGCATTCACGTTGCATTTTTGCAGGAAAAACAATTTCTCAGTTATTTTTGTTACCAACATAAGAAAAGTTGAACAGCATAACCTGTGTGGCTGTGTGCAAAAACTCCCTGAACCCCATAAAATAATAAAAGCCAGCAGAATATTGTATGTGCAAATGTGCGTAAAGCTGACGTGAGCAGCATGAACGCTGCAACTGACCAAAATGACTCACTCCACCAGCTTCCATCACGCCCTAAAAAATAAAGAACATGGGAGTAAAAACTGCAAATGATGACTTTCAGTCTTCCAAGCCCCTTCTGGACTGTTCCAGTGTCAAACTGTGAAAAATATAGCAGTTTTCTTGTAGAGGAGGCAAGATGAGGACGAACATGTGCATTTAGGCACCAAGTAGCTGCATCTTGACAGTCTGACAGGTCAATTACTGCTAGCAGCTCTATCCGGCTGAATGGATGTTGGAATCAAATGTGTTTCAATTTGGCATTTACTTAATGAGAAAGTTATTTATCTGTTTAAAAACATATTTAGTTCTATGTCACAAACTGTAATAAGGATGTCTCAGATCAATGTGGTGCGAGTTGTATTAACATGTTTAAGTTGATTTGGTTTGTATTTATTTCATCATGTTTTAGAGTAAAAACATAAAAAATGAACATTTTGATGTTTTTTTTTTTTTTTAGCTTTGTGCCTCAGGAAAATCTCCCATGAGAGTGTTGCCAATCTTATATTTTGGGATAAATCAGCATGACTGTCACGGAGAAGTTATTTTTACTTTTCTAAATAATCAAGGAATGCAGTTAGGACAAGCTGAAGTAAGCATAAAAAAAGCACGTAGGCAGGGCTTTTTGGAGCTTAACAAATCATGCACGGCAGCGCGCACATCAGTCATTTACAACACGAAGCAGCGTGGACATATGGCACACCACGCAGCGTGGAGCACACACTGGGGTGTGTTTACATTCAAATACAAGCTGAAGCGAATCTGTCAGGGCTGTGTAGCAGTCTGAAATATGCACACATATCAGACGTATGGGCGTGCAACGCAGGAGTGAAATAAAGACGTGATTCAGATGCAGTTTGTAGAACATCTCAAGGCTCCCACGTACTCGAGCGTACTTCACTCCGCAGACGTCTGCGAGTACCGGATTAGACTAAACGCGGACTCAAAGCGGACGCTCTCAAGCCATGTCTGCGCAAAGATCAATGTTCACGACCACGAACGTAGTATGTCTGTCACAATAACATTTTTTTCTGTGCAATTAATTGTCTCAGAAATTATTGCAATAAACGATAATATTGTTTAAAATTTGACAATAATTAGTAATTATTGTCAAATTTATGAAGAAATGTTGGTAAATTTGTTTTGTGTGTAGTACCTTTTTTGACCACTGGATGGAAATATAAGACTATTTGAACCAAAGGATGGATAGTGAGGGAGTGAGCAGTGTGTCTCTAAGAAAAATGGGAGGGAGCCCCCTTGATGTGACATGGGCTGTCTCTCTTCGGTTCTTAAAATGAGGCAAGAGGCAAGCGATCTCTTTCTCCTCGTCTGTTGATGCCATGACTGAAATTGTGAGAAATGAAGGAATTTGTCACGAGACAATTAAAATCAGGCCCGGCGTGGCTGCAGGACAGTCTGGAGATTTCCTGGTGGGCTGGCCTGATGTGTGGGCTGCAGGGCCAGTGCTCCCTCTTTTTTTTTTTAGAACTTTTTATTAACAATATAAACACATCCTAATGCATGCTCAATATAAACACAGCTGCTCCTGGGTTGCCAGCTGTCTCTACCAGGGCCGCCAGGCAGCTCTCGCTTTCTTTTTTTTTGTGACCTGTCAATCAATCCAGTAGGCGTGTCAGCAAATGGCCAATCAGTGATCTCAATTTGTCCTGAAGGTAAACGCCCCTTGCCTGCGGAGCTGGGCTGCAGTCAGTCAGGGTGTACTCTCGAGGATGAAGTCTCAACCGTCTGCAGACAGTGCGGACAGTGTGCGCAGTGGCCGCACGGCTCACGGAGTACACACAGTACGCCTGAGTATGTGGGATCCTTTACTGTGGCGTGAAAACAACAGTCATGAACAGAGTATACTTGAGTGTTTGTCCTGTGTTTCCATTTAAGGTCAAGGTTCTTTATTGTCATTCGCATCACATGCAATGGTAATGAGATGGAACAAAAGTGTGTACACAGGGCCCCAGTGGCATCCAACAATAGCAAAAATATAAAGTGTAAAAAAACTAGTAAATAAGGATCTAAGATATAAACTAAGATATACACTAAACGAACGCCAAACTGTACGCTACAAATTCTAACATATACACTAGTCACTAATAGTGGAAAACAATACACCAAACAACAGCAGTACGAACATGAGTCTTTGTGGGTGTACGAGTACGAACGAATGAACACAGCAGCATTAAATAATCAGCAGCATGAAATAATCAGCAGCATGGGCTCAGCAGCATTAAATAATCAGCAGCACAATCAAAGTTGCATTACAGTATATTTTTCTCACAGTGATAATCCTGATTAGGGATTTATGAGTCTAACTCATAATTGTATAGTCATTGCACCTGAGAAAACGCAGCAAAATTGGCACAAGAATTTGTTGTGTAGGATGTTTATGCAAACCTAACCACATAATTTCATTTTATCTTTTTGTTGAAGTTTATATAACATTTGCAACACCTGAACCTCCTCGAGTCTTGTTCCGTTATACTTGTAGAAACTTGCTCGCACTTTCCTGCTGCACTTCCTGTTGTACGGTCGGCCACTTCACAGCTTGCACAAATCAGCCGTAACTTTGACAGATTGTGTAACTGAGGCTCTTTAATATTTTAGTGAAAGTTGTCACCATGTCTTCTTTTATATGAAAATACCCAAAGCAAGGGATCTAAACCTCACGTTGTCAAACGTTTTTAAATAAAACCCTGTAAGTTTTAGTTTATCCACAAGAGACAAGATTTTAAAAAGTACATATATACAGTATATACATATACAGCTGTTTTCAGATAAATTCAAGATTTTTATGGTAATTTCAGCTACTTTCAGCCAAATTAATGTCTTTCTGCTAATTTCATCTTGTTATGCTCCTTTCAGCTTTTTTCAGCTTCAGCTTTTTCTGCTATTTCAGCTACTATTTAGCTGTTTTATGCTAATTTTTGTTTTTCAGCCAATTCCACATTTTTTAGCTCATTTCAGCTCTTTCCACCTCCTTCTCATAGGTTAAGTTTTTTTCTACCTTTTTGGCTCTTTTTGGACTTTTTTTTGTGCAAATTTTAGCTTTTTTTTTTAGCTAATTTCCTTATCTTTGTGCTCATTTTTGCTTACCAGTATTTAAACCTAATTCAGTAAATGTGTTCTTTCTGCTTTCTTCTCCTAATTTAGGCTTGTTCTTTCATTTCAGCATGTTTTTTTTTAGCTAATTTCAGCTGTTTTTCAGCCATTTCTTCATCAATAAGCATTCCCATTGCATTTTCACAGGAAATGCAATTTCTCTTATCTTTGAGTTTTATTTATCTCCAATTATCATATTTATTTCTAACATTAATGAGCACAAACGTATGAATGGTCTTTACAGGAAGTTCGGACTTGTCTGTAGAAATGGTTCTTAAGAGGTTTATTACAATCTACCACCAGGGTCATCACAACTGACCACCTGCAGTCAAATCATCCTAAATGAAATTACAAGTGTGAACAGAGCTAATGAAAAATCTCTTTTCAGTGCACTCGTTCCTGCGTGTGCTGACTGTTTACCATGTCGTAGGCGTTCAGGACTTTTCGCAGGAGCTCCGGCACCGGACTCTGAGCTTCCATGGTGGGATAGGTCTCGCTCAGGTCCACCGTTACCCTCAGAGTGCGTTCACTGTTCATCAGCCAGGTGGAAACCGTCAGGATACACTGCTTCATGTTGGCTGCAGGAGTCAGGCCGCACAGCTCCTTAAAGGACACCAAGGCATTCTGGGAGGAAAGCACACATTCACAATTGAGATATTAACAAGTCAATAAGATATTCTGGTCAAATAAATCCATTTTAAAGTAGCCTATGCTTCTCCTGAATATATCCTGAGTGATGCTGGTCCTCCCACAGCTTTGGGCTCTGGACTGTTACTGCAGTGTATTAGTGTCACATTGAACTCCACTACAGTAACTTCTTGTGCACCCAGAAGACATCTTCCTGCCTGCAGAGGTTTGTAAACTGTGATCTAATGGAATGGAAAACTCTGCAGTCACGTTCTGAAGATAACCTTGAGAGAAAAGACTTAAGGAAAATACGATGTCTGTCTGAACAGTCACAAAATGAGATGTGTCCTAGGTGATGGTAAAATGATGCATTATTAATATTATCCATCTGATCATTCATCAGATATCACTGAGTCAAGGAAGTGTTTATTCATCTCTTTCCTAATTTATCTTTTCACTGTACTGGATGTAGATTATAAGCCAAATAAAAAATAACTAAAATTAGTTATTTTATGTTTCTACATAAATAAATCTCTGCCTCAGAATGTTGTCAGATCTCGGTGGTAGAATGAATCTAATTTTGGATTAGGAGCAGGTATGGCTCAGCTAGTCGCTCAGGTCTGCTAACATTTGCACATTGTGCACCTCCTCTCCACGTGCACGAGTGTCCTTGAGCTACACCCTGAACCTTACATTTTTACAGCATTTACAAGCATTTGCTGAAGTCAATAAAACAGTAACAGTTCTATAAGCTCATTCAGATATTGTGATATTTATTTATTATTGTGTGAATGTTTATTAAGCATTCACACTGTTGTGATCCTGTTTATATTTATTTCGACTTCTGTCTTCTTCTGTATGTTTTTTGGCATCGTTCTCATTCCACAATTTTTGTGCTATTTCAACAAATCATATGAAAACATTCAGTTTTTTCAGGACCTTTTTGAAACATTTAGCCTTTTCTACCACTTTTTTCTCATAGAAAATGACTTGAGCTCATTTTACATCCTTCAGATCTTTAGATCTGTTTACAACCTTTTAATGCTCCTTTCACATTTTGTTCTGGTTCAGCTTCTTTCATCTTCCTTGTGCAAGTTTAACTTTTTTTTTTCCAGCTACTTTCAGCTAATCTCAGCTGTTTTGTGCTCCTTTCAGATTATTTCTAACTACAACATTTTTGTGCTTCTTCTAACTTCTTCTGCTAATTTCACCTTGTTATGCTCCTTTCAACTTATTTCTGCAAGTTTCAACTTTTTCTGCTATTTCAGCTACTATTTAGCTGTTATTATAATAATGTTTTGCTTTTTCAGCTAACCACAATTTTTGCACTCGTTTCAACTTTTTTCTACCGAATTCAGAAAAAATGTGCTCTCTCTATTTCCTTCTGATAATTTAGGCTTCTTTCTGCTTTTTTTTTATTTTTTATTTTGGCTACTTTTCAGCTGGTTGTTTTTTTGTTTATTTGTTTTTACTAATTTCAGCTTTTTTCAGATTATTTCTCATTTTTGTGCTCATTTCTGCTTCTTTCAGCCTAATAGGGCAAACATGCTCTTTCTGCTTTCTTTTGCTACTTTAAGCTTGTACTACCTTTTCAGAAAAGTTTTTAGCATTTTTAGCTAATTTCAGACATTTTCAAATAATTCATGTTTTTCAAGGTAATTTCTGCTACGTTCAGCCTAATCAACTTCTTTCTGCTAATTTTAGCTTGTTATGTTCCTGTCCGCATATTTCAGCTAGTTTCAGCTTTTCCTGGTATTTCAGCTACTATTCAGCTGTTTTCATGCTAATATTAGCTTTTTTATGCTAATTCTGCTTTTTTTTTAGCTCTTTTCAGCTCTTTCTACTTCTGGTAGTTTAAGTTTCATTTGGCCTTTTCAGCTACTTTTCAGCTATTTTTGCTAATTTCTGCCTTTTTTTTTTTTGCTAATTTCTTAATTTTTGTGCTCATTTCTGCTTATTTAAACCTAATTCAGCAAATTTGTATTCTTTTTGCATTCTTCTGCTAATTTAAACTTGTTCATTTCAGCTACATTTCAGCATGTTTATTTTTAGCGAATTTCAGCTGTTTTTCAGCAAGTTCTTCTGCAATAAGCAATCAAACTGCATTTGTGCAGGAAATGCAGTTTCTCTAGTTAACATATATTTTAATTTTTACCCTACTTCATGCAAGCTGAGGGCAATTTAGTACATCTGTGGATAAAGGCATGAACTAAGATGACTGAGGAAACCCAGTTATTTTTAATAAGGCATAAGAGTGAATAAAATATAATATAAGAGAAGACAAATTAAAATTGTTTACACAGGACAGGCTAGTGTGGTATTAGGAAATCAGTTCATGCACTCAACAATGTCCTGGGTGGAAACAGCCGTCTCTTTGGGCGAGACCTCCAGGCCTGAAGACAAATCTTGGTACCTCTAAGGATGTGCTCCTGTATCGTGAGGCATGATTTTCCTGCTGACAAAGAGGTTGGCCAGAGGACAGAACATCTGTATGCAGAGCCTCATATGCAGTTAATACCTCTTGGACAACTGGAGACAGCTACAGAATCAAAGCTCTGGATTAAAAACTCACTGTGTGGTTATACGTGTGTGATCTATGAGCACGTCTGGCTGCCAGCGTTTACATCTCAGCGTGGTATGAGCCCAACTTATTATCAAGCTTTGAATAATTCCTCACATGTGTGCATGCAACCACAAACACAAGTGTTTTTTGATAATTATTGCACAATAAAAGCCAGGCTGGTGCCAAAGCACAGCATTACAAAACCCAATGAGAGGCTTGTGTTTTTAATTACTTCCCCCCATCCCCCTACTTTATTCCTCTTCCAACACTCCCCAAACGAGGGCTCCGTGTCCGGTTACACCAGAGCTTTTGTGTCTGCTTGCCCAGCTCTCTCCATCTCTCTTTGTGCTTTTGTCTCTGCATCGCTCTCTTGTCTCTGGCTCACAGCACTAATGTGTCAATGATGGCACTGAAATATTTCAGCAAATAAAATCAAACTTCAGCCTGGCATCACTCCTCCAGCTCTATTCACACTTTAGAGACTTTGCTGGACACTCTTTACAACTGCAAAAACAATCGATCTGCTGCTTTTATCCACATAATTATGGTAATCTACCCTATTTATCCATTTGTCAGTGTTTATGGACTCCCTCTGCATGTTCAATGGTCAAATGGTGTCTCTATTTTCTTATTTAAAACAAATCCTACATAGGTTTTGATGTTGGATAAAAGAGTCTAGCTTGCTGAGCTGCCATGTCTTTATTATTATTAGACCTTTATTTGTACAGGTTAGTTCCCATTGAGCCTCAAAGACTCATTTACAAGAGACCTGTCACATACAACATACAGGCAGATGAGGAAAAAGAGAACATGAGGATGGAGGAAGCCCCCCAAAAAAATCATGTCTCGCACCATTTCCTGGCTGGGAAACAGTATAAAAGATGCAAAAAAAGACCTTGCAACATACAATGACATCACAATACATTTATGCATAGAGGTCAACAAAGGTGGTAAGTTATCCATAAAAGCTCCAGAAGGTTCCAAAGTTCTGATAAGATGGTACAGTGTCTATCAGCATCATGATTCGGATAAGGCCAATGTCTAAAGAAGTGTGTGAATCTGCAGTTCTTCCACAAAATGAGCTAATAAACTTTATTTTCTTACCCAAAAGGCAGCGTGTGTGTTAATTTGTATAGTTTTGTCAAAATACATCGTGACCCACTGAATGGGTTTAAATTAAACTCTGAAAAAAACCCGCACACATACATCTACAGCTAAATATCTGATGGAGCCAGCTATTAGGAAACAGAAAAATGCTTAAAACGCAGCCGATTTGACAGATATTGAGTTAAATTCAGTGTGGAAGTAGCTGAGAGTCATCCTCAACACACTCTCTGAGCGCCATCACATCTTGCAAGCTCTCACAATATTACATTAGATTTTGCCAGACATTTGTCAGACCTTGTTAACATTAACAAGGTTTGACCAAACCAGCTCTAACTCATCTGGGCAATGTGCATTCTTTCAGGAATTTCTACAATGTTAACTTCTCATCTTTTTTCAGCCTTACATCAGGGTTATCAGGTTTGCTGCTTCCGGATTTTGTTTTTGTCTCATGCGTTCGTTTCCAAGGTGCCTCCAGGACACTGGCCTCTACACAGGTGGCGTCTACAAAGTCTTACCAACTGCATTTATTTTTGCATTTAAAAGGGACGGAGCTTATTCGTTTTTATTTATCTCCTTTGTAACATCCTTCTCAGTTTCAGCACATTCATTTATCTCATGAACTTTTATCTTAATTTCAAAAAGACAAATTAACATTTCAAACCTGAGGAAAATGAGGCCTGCTGAGCGTTTATTGCCGCCAGCGTTATTTGATCAGGTTAACACAGACTCATATTCAATCACCTTAGTGCCGACATTTTTCATGGAGGCCCACAGATTAAATTCTGAAGCCAGTCGTTATCAGAGATGATTCATAGGACGGATTAGAGTCTTATCTGTGACACAGGCAAGACTGTGATTAATTTCAAATTTAGCAATAGTTAGTTGATTGCAATTTTCGAAAAGTAATGTTTAATTATTCTGTGTCAAATTTAAAAGGACTGACATTTTCTGTCTTATTCATCATTTTTATGCTGTTTGAAATAAAATTTAAGTGCAGGTATATATTATTATTTATTAGAATGACAATACTTAGCCTACTACCCACACCAATATTTTGGTTAAATTAGAAAATATTAAAGAAAAATATTTGTACAGAGTTATCAGTGTTGTTTTTCAATGGTTATGAGTTGTAGAATTCCTTAAAAGGAAATATAATAATATCAATTTTAATTAAAAAAAAGAAGATTTTTGAGTTGGCATCAACTGAGGTTGTGGATTACACAAGTTTTAACTGTTTATTTTGGATACAAATGAATTAAGCAATAGCTTAAAGGCGATATACAAGTGCAAATTGCCTCACCAGTTAGATTTTAACAGTTGATTTCTTCAGTGCAATTAGGTAACAATTTTTTATTTGCTCATTAAGTCATTAGTTGTCCATTTAATGCGTAGAAACCAAGTCCTTTTTCCTGACCAGTAACTGTTCCTCATTATTGATTACACTATTCATAAAACTCAATTGTACAGCAATGTCAATTTATTGCCTTTAAAAAAAGCACGATTAATGGCAAGCATTTATAAAAAATAGCAAGAAAAAAGCTCCAATCAGACACATAGTCTTGTGAAGATTTTCTATACTTACTATCAAATCTATCGTTCTTTTCTGAACTTAGCTTTGGTGCTTTTAACTTATTTGGGTATGTGTATCTTATTCGAAAATTTTCTGTGTGTGCATCAGTAATGCTAGAAAAATGACGATTCTACTCTATAATCTACTGTAGTCATGAGAATTCTTCAATTTTTATGTAATCTCAAAAGTAAAATTTATGATTTTCATAGACTTTTATAGAAAACAGAATGTTCAGATTAAGCTGACAAATTAGATCTAGATCAAGAGACTATTATTTTTAGATTTCTGCTTTTGATTTCCTTGCAAACTATTCAAACAAAGTCATAGATGAGCATCTTCTTTGGCACAATCAAATGTGCTATTCTTTACTAAATATGTGACAAGCAATACTTCACTGGACAATGGTGTTAATTTGTTCTGTTCCAAACAAAATAATAACCAAACATAATGTATAATATGCAAATTTAACCTATGTCATCAGCAAATGACTAGTAATCTGGATCAACTCCAGATTAATTAATTTCCAAATAAATACTAAGAAAGAAAGATGAGATGAATTAGTTGTACTAATAACCTGTCAACATTTACTTGCTGTGTCAGATTATTGCACCAGAATGTGGAAGTCTCGACTTCACTCAGCCTGCCAGTAAAATCAACACAGGTGCAACATATGGTTTTTGGATTGTGCTTTAATGTGTGAATTTCCTTACCTGCACATTTTCTCTGAGGTCTGTAGCCTCCCTGAGGGGCTGGGTGGAGGCTCTGAAGAGTTCATCTACTACTTTGATCCCTGTGGTCTTGGTGGTGGTATACTCCCGGGCCTTCCTTCCCTTCTTCACAGAAAGACCCCTCTTGTGTGCCTTTCCTCCGCCACGCCTGTTGGTGATAGCTACATGAACAAACAGGGTGGTGTTGGGTAGGAACTCTCCTGTGAGAGATTGTAGAGGGACATGCCTATAGCCTGGCTGTAGGCACTCAAATGGGATGGTGTACTGGCCAATGAACTCATCTCCAATGTAGTCGTCATCCAAAACTACAAAGCGTAAAACTGCAAGTTCAGGTAAGTTGATCTGAAATTCAAAACTCTCATCAAAAATGGGATTGTCTCCATTTTGGGACACGGTTTTGGTTCTTTGCTCAGCACAATCAGCTGGTATCCCATGTATTTCTACATATATGTAAGGCTCAACTACATCACCCTTGGCAGCAGAGCCACGAGGCTTTGGCAGATTCTGCCCGCTGATGATTTTGATGTGAAGTAGCTGTGCAGATACTCCTGGCAGGGAATCCCGAGCATTGGCACTAAAGTAGGACACCTCCTCTCTCATGATGGCTGGCCGCAAAACATATCCACAGTTTCCATTTTGCCTGAACCAACCAAGATTAAGGTCCATCATCAGTCCTGGTGTTTGGTAATTCATGGCTACAATTTGGCAGCCACATTTCCAGAAATCCTGGGGATTCATGTTGCTGGCATCAATCCTCATTGATGTGGGATACACTCTGGAGAGGAAGCGTTTGTTATAACAAACAAATTCCTCAGGAAATTCATTGGCAAATCTGTTTGCATCAACTTCATTGAAGGAACATATCTCCCAGTTTTTCTGTTCCCTCTTAGAGAGGTCAAAGTCCCTGAACTGTACCGACTTACAGAGAGATACAAGGTCAGATAGCTCTCTGCACAACCTGAGTCTTTTACAGCCCAAACCATTCAGGTGGTCCTTGTCATCAGCTCCAAGTCTGCGGGACATTTCCAGACCCTCCTCTTCATCCGTTACATCCCCCTCAGCGTCAGTGCAGCTGGGTGGCAACTTTTTACCCTTAAGGAGTATTTTGCCTTTGAGTTTCTCAGGAGAGGGTAGGTAGTTTTCCTCTTTGTTTGGAGGTTCAAGGCATAGTTTGTCCCCAAGAATCTTCTTCAAGTGCTGTGCCAATACTCTTTGTTGGAAGACACAGCAGTGGGTCACCAAGCAGAAAATAAGAGGATACTCAGAGCTTTCAAAAGCGTACTGGTTTATTATGTCCAGAACTTTGGAGAAAGCCAACTGTGAGGCCAAAGAACTACCTACATACACCACTGGCTCATTATCAGGACCATCCCACACTATGACCTCAATGCTGCGGCATCCCATCCTTAGAGCTCGGATGTAGCTGCTGATGTCTGATGAACCCCAGAAATGATCATCAAGAAGGGAGGCATTATGTGAGGAGTTGATATAGTAGTGAGAGAGAGGCTGTGTCATATCCTGGCACACTTGTTTGTGCTGGGGGTCAAAAATGTGGCATTCTGAGGACAGGAGGTAGTGTGTAAAGCCATCAATAGAGAGGTAGCCCCGTTCTCTGCCTTTGGCAGATGGCTCAAATTTCTGAACAATGTCCCTGCACATTTCCTCTGTTACGCCCTCCACACCCTGTTCCACATCGACAAACAGCATCAAATCTTTACTGTCCAGGTACTCCTTGTTGCTAGAGAATTGAACTAGTAGAAAGAAAATCTCTGGTCGTGTGCAGAGCTCACAATAGGCTTCCACAAAAGTATCCATATTAATTCCCTCCCCGTATTGGTCTTTAGCTTTATGTAATTCCTTGAATTTGAGCTCTATTCTGGACTCCTTCATGCCAGGATTGAGACCCTTGATTATCTGGGTGGCTCTGAAAAGGTCTATATGTCCTTCCTTTTCCATATCTGTCAGCTCAAACACTGAGCCAATCCAAGAGGTTCTTAGACTTGGTTGACTGGGTTCCATTATGTCCACAGTGTGACGGCCGTAGGACACCAGATATCTTAAGCCCATGACCCATGTGTTGACAACATCTGCTGTACTGGCTACCAAATCTAAGCTCTCATAATTATCTCCATAGATGATTGAGAAGGCGCATTCATCAGGGAACTGATCCGAGAGACCATTGCTGCGCAGGACAGGAGTTTTCTTTCCCAAACGAACTTCCTTAATGCTTTTGATTTCCAATTTGGCTTTCTCCGAATCCTTCTTGGATGGCTCCCATCGAAGCCAGTGCATATCTGGATCTAGCAGGAAATAACGGTTGTACATGCGTGAATTGGAGCGCACCTTCTTCATCTCACAGCCCTCCATCATAAAGGCAATGCAAGCAGCAGTGCTGTTGATCTTACGGTCACTTGGCATTGAGCTGAAGGACACTGTTTTCTTCCTGACCTGCTTCTGTTTGGAACCATCCTGGGAAAAGAAAAAGGGGAAGGGAAGGTTGGAGTAGAGAAAGTTTTCTTGGTTACACATTTAAATTTTTTAAAATGCTTTGAATAGAAGAGACAATATACAGAAAATAATGTGTCCTTCTTTGGAAAACAACATTCTAGGTATGACAGAGTTTCAGATGCGTACCATGCAGGGACTTATTTGATATTTCACTGTAAACATTAAATATATTGTATCTTTAACGCATATGCATTATGAAAGATATCATTGATTGATGAATAACCTTATAATTATTTTTTGATTTCTTCTTTGACCTGCTCCCTTCCTCAGGGGTGGCCAAAGCAAAATAAAACAAACAAAGACTTGGCAATTGTTTCTATGCTGGATGCCCTTCCTGATACAACCCGAGACACACACAGCTCCACACAGAACTACAGTAACCCTCTCTGTGGGGCAGAGGGCTGCCATCAAGGGCTGCCGGGTGGAGCAAATGGTGGGAGTTAAGGGCCTTGCTCAAGGACCCAGTGGGGCAAATGAGGGTGGAGGCAGATGTAGGTGCTTCACCTTTCCCTCCCACATTTTGTGTTGTCAGATCGGGGGGGTCGAACGGGCAACCTTCTGATTACAGGCTCAACTTCTCTAACCTCTACCCTACCACTCCCCCATAATTATAATAACTATAATTACTAATTATTACTAACTTGACCTACACAAGGTGAGGTCAGTAAACAAGGCCAGGCTGATGCTGGCAGATCCTGATTACCCGCTCCATGGGGAGTTCAGGTTGTTTCCATCTGGACGCAGGTATCTGCTGTCCAGATGTAGGACAAACAGACTGAAAAACTCATCACTGTAGCGATCAGGCTTCTCAACAAACAATGATGATTTCTGTACTGTTATTTTGTCTTACTGTCTTGTCTATGGATGTTTTGTGTGCCTACTGATTGTGAAACCAACTGCCCCTTGGAGATAAAGATTCATGAACTTCAATTGACTTATATACAGTAAAGAGTTTAGCAAAAATATTTTATTTAGAGTGTATTGACTTAATTCTGTGTGAAACAAGAGTAATATCTGGCATCATGCTTGAAAACAGACTGTAAAGTACTATGTACTGCAGTACTGAACAGTTGGCTGTAATAAAAAATACATGAGACTGAGGATTTGATTTACACCTTGGTTCAAGTTTCATATCAACAGTAAAAGGCTTTAGTTTTGGAGCAATATTTTACTGCAAAGTAGATTTGTGAATGAAATACTGTAATAATTTTCTGATAAATGTGTTTTTTGCAAGCCAGTTGCAAAGAAAAAGCAAAGTTTTCTGTATACTGTCTTTCTACAAAATATAAAGCAATAATAATTGTAATTTTAAAAAGTAAAATCAGGAAAAGAACACCACCTGCACTGATATAACTAAACTCCTGCAGCTTTCTGGTTTTCCTGACTTGTTGGCAGAAAGCAGATAGTGCTGCCCTACTTCCATACTGGGGTGGTTTCCTGGACAGCCTAAATTCATATGGCCTGGTTTAGGAGTTGGAAACTGGGCTTGTTGAATAATGCATAGCTAGCCCCAAAAAAAGAGTAAACCCAAAGTAATTTATTCTAAAGCATCTGAACAAAAAAGTGGTCCGCATATAAAATATTTTTGTTCTTAAGAAATGCTATTGGTGAGGATTACTTAATCCTGTAAGAATTGAAGGCGGCACGGTGACGCAGTTGGTAGAGCTGCTGCCTCTCAGGGAGAAAGTCGCCGGATCGGATTCCGACCGGGGGGTGGCTTTCTGGGTGGAGTTTGTATGTCCTCTCCATGTATGCATGGACTTTCTCCATGTACTCTGGTTTCCTCCCACAGAACAAAAACATGCATATTAGGCTGATTGGTAACTCTAAATTGTCCCTAGGTGTGAGTGAGAGAGTGAATGGTTGTCTTGTTTGTCTCTTTGTGGTCCTGTGATGGACTGGAGATCTGTCCAGGGTGTATCCCACTTCTCTCTTGCACAGTGACTGGACGTGGGCACAAGTGATCCCCGTGACCCGAAAAGGAAGAAGCGGGTAAATGATAATGGATGGATGGAGTTGAATTGAGTTGAGTTTGAGTCCTTTATTCATGTTTCAATAAATCTAAAAGAAAGGCTACAAAGGGAAGAGGGCTCCAGGGCTGCTCTTGTCCTCTGCCCAGGTCAATGACAGCCTGCACCAGGTTGATGGATCTCCTTGGAGCAAAGTCTAACTCTAGTCACAGTGTAACCACCGTGAAACTCCTCGAGACAATCTGTCTTCTACCCCATGGTCAGAGGAAGATGACGCCTGGCAGCTTCTATCAATTAATGAGCACCGTTTGATGCAGGACTGAAGCAATGATCCTTTCATTTTGCCCCTTTTTACTTTTCCCTGGATTTCAGCACTCAATGACCTAATTGTCTTATTTTTTTTAGAACTGGAAAAATACAATTATATATAAATTAATAATAAAGTATTGTATAAATTACATAATTTATATAAATACATTTTGAACAAAATTATGTAACTACAGTAAATTTATTATTGTCCTTAGAGGACGGGACACTCCAAGTCCAAAAGGTTGCTTTTTGTTTTTAATTAGATCTATTAAGTCACTATTTTTTTACAGTTAAGAAATATAAGTATGTATTTGTAAGAGTTACTGCTAAAAATCAAAGTCATACGATGATGCATGTAATCTTGCATAAATTAAAAGGGCCATTACAGTGCAGTTGGTTTAGCTCAAAGATAGCACAAGTTAAAAAAAAAAAAGTAACCTAAGAGTGACCACTTATAGGAAGTAAACTAACCTTATCTTCTCCTTTTGCTATGACCTCTTTCCTCGAAAAGATAAGCCCCACTCTCTTATCACAGCGGTAATGGAAGTCAAAAATGAAGGCTCAAATAAAGAGCTCAGTTTTCAAACCAAATGCGTTGCTATGAAATGTCAATAACATTCTCCTTTTTCTTCACGGGCAATATCAGTCATAACAACAAACTCAGACAAACCAGACAGTTATTTGGTTTCTTTTGACATGCTCTTTTCAGGGCTTGTGTGCAAAAACCAAGTAAATGGACATCCACACAGACAGGAGTGTGAGTGAGTGGCTCTATGAACGAACATTGACTCAATAGTTTCCAGGTGTTTTTAAAGGAAATGTTTCCAAAGGTCAAATGGTGTGAAGGTAATAGTTTGTTCAATGACATGCTGGTACAATTACAGACCAATGTCTGTCGTTATCTGCTTGGCATTCGATTAAAACCAGGCTTACTTTGGTTTTGTTTAAAACTATTACTTTCACAACAAAACTTGTTAATTGCACAATGAAAATACATGATAAAGATGTATAGCTCCCCCAAACATAGGGAACTAAGGGTTCACTTTGGCCCCAAAGTTTTAACTATCTTCTAGTGAAGTAAAGAAACCATCCATCATCTTCCACTTATTCCGAAGTCGGGTCATGGGGGCAGCAGCTTGAGCAGGGAAGGCCCCGACATCCCTTTCCACAGCCACCTCTTCAGCTCTTCTGGGAGGACCACAAGGCATTCCCAGACCAACCTAACAACAGTCTCTCCAGTGTGTCCTGGGTCTTCCCCGGGGTCTTCTCTCAGTTGGACATGCCTGCAGCACCTCCCTAGGGAGGCACCCAGGGAGCATCCTTACCAGATGCCCGAACCACCTCAACTGGCTCCTCTCGATGTGGAAGAGCAGCGGTTCTACTCCGAGTCTCTCCTGATAACTGAACTTCTCACCCTGTCTCTAAGGGAGAGTCCAGCTACCCTGCAGAGGAAACTCATTTAACCTCCTGTATCCACGATCTCATTCTTTCAGTCACTACCCAGAGTTCGTGACCAGAGGTGAGGGGAGGAACGTAGACCGACTGGTAAACGGAGAGCTTTGCCTTACAGCTCAGCTCCGAGATACTTGAACTCCTCCACTTGAGGCAGAACCTCACCCTCGATCCGAAGAAAACAATCCACCTTTTTCGTAAAGAAATGGTTAAAGTAAAAAAACTATTGAAAAATTATTTTTTACTTTTATTTAGTTCTAGAAGTACAAAATCATCTCTGAGGTTCGGGGCTATTTTGAGTGACGTCTCTATTTTGCTTAATATATTTCATATTTCTCTCAGCACTTTTTTTTTCATGGTTGTTTTACTTGCATCACAGTTTTTGTTTGTTTTCCTGAAGGCATTTGCCTTGTGCTGGTTGATGCCAGTCCTGAAGCAACGTGTGGGTATTCTGGTAATCAGCCACACCTCCCCTGTTCCCTTTTGTATGGGGTCACTGGCTGCTCTTGACTGGGTCAAGCCCTTCCTGATGTAAGGGTCAAACTGTGGGGCGGTACAGTCAGGCTGGAACTGAGCTCCCTAAACTGCTCTGAAGGGCAAAGGTGTGTCCATTTTCATCCTGCCTCTCTTAAGTGTTGCACTGGGAACAATAATGTGACATGTGGAGCCTAACTCCAGGGAGGCAATTAACGCAGCAAACTTCAAGCTCTCATTCATAGCAACAGGAACAGGTTGCCCCCACTGAATGCACTGTACTAGAAAAATAACTCTTCTTTGCTGTACATGAATGCAAAGTCCTTCTTGATTTCCATGATTATATCTTCAATAAAAACCCATTGTATGCACATCTGCATCCCCTCCCTGTGCAGCTCAAGCTATTCTGAGTTCTAAATGAAGCACTGTCACACAGAATAATGCTTCTGTCTCTTACAGCTTACAGCACAAGAACAGTCTCACTTTTATAACACAGTGGAAGATACAACATCGCAGTGTAACGTTTGAGGGCAGTAGAGGGTGTGGGAATTAGCAACTGCACTGTCAAATTTTAGAATACTCAAAGTGCTCAGCCTCCCCAACTGTTTTCCAACACATGGATGTTGAATTTATCCCCTGAATGCTTTCCTGTGGGAACATACTGCTTCTTTCACAAATGTGGCCCACTTTCTCCCCATTCCAGCAAATCTCCATCCATCCCACCTCCTCGTCACGGCTGTGTTGGCTGACTGCCGC